GTTTCTGTCAATTTATTTTGTTCCTTTGAATGAGTCATGTTTCCTCTTTCTTTGTGTACCTTGTTTTTATGTTGAAAATTGTGCACTATTATAAGGTGTTAACTCTGGAAATCAGATTCTTCCCATTCCCCAGATTTCAGTGTTTTTGATCATTGAAGGCTGTGGTGGTCTGATACTTCTCTAAACTATTTTTGCATAGACTATTTCTTGTCATATGTGATCACTCAAGTCTTTTCCTTTAGTTTATTTTTAGCTGTTTTGACAGAGATTTTCTTGAATGCCAGGAGCTTAAACAAGAAAACAAAACAAACATGCTAACAAAGAAGAGAAAACAACCACCTTTCCTAGTCTTTGCAGATTGGCTCTATGCTGGGGCACTCCTTTACCACTTAGCTAGGATTGCTCTGAATCTAGGGCTCACCACAAGGTGAAACCTCATCTTCTCGGGTCTTTTCTTAGTATGCTTCTTATGGGGGCATGTGTGTGTCTTTCTAAAGTTCTCCAATTATATATCTGTTTTTGAACGTCCTAATCTCCCAAAGATTCTTACCCCAGCTTCTTCTCTATGCCATACATTATCTACTGTGTCTCCACTCATAATTTCTTGCCCCAGGTATCTGTGAGTTTGTAGTCCACTCTGCAGGTTTTATGAGCAAGGCCTGCTCCTTTTCCCACTTGCATTGTGAGTAATGCAAAACAGATGAGTGCCTTGCATCAGTCCTTCATGTATCCTCAAGACAGGTTAGAACAGATGTACAAAATAATTTACAAACAAGGTCTGCTCTGCTCTCTACAGTTTGAGGGAAAATGGGTTGCTGCCTGCTCAAGACCAAGATCACTGCTATGCTGGGGAGGGGCAAGGCAAGAGTGAAAATGCCACAAAACTTTACTAACATTTTGAAGATGGCCTTTCCTTGATTGGGCATTTGCTTGTTTCTGTAAACCTTTGGCTGTTTCCCAAACATACTACAAAGTTGCTTTCAGAAAGCTGTTTTTTCCGGTTTCTGTGAGAAAACAATAGCTTGGAGCTTCCTGGTTCAACATTTTGGTGATGTCACTCCCAGGAACTATATTTTTCACATATTTCCTGTCCCAACAACTCTTACTTTAAAATAAGTTGGGGCTTAAGGAAGTTTTATAAATTGCCAAAAATTACAGAGCTTGTTAATGGAGTTGGGACTATACCTTCCTAATGAAATATGCCTTTGTCTTACCATGTATTAGGAGCACAGATGCTTATCCCAGATATAATTGACTGGGGTAGAATTAAGCGAGAAATGGATTGTCTTAGCTTGGGCTACTATAACAAAATATCATAGACTGGGTGGCTTAAGCAACAGAAATTTATTTCCCACAGTTCTGGAGGCTGGGCAGTCCCAAAATCAAAGTGCTGGCAGATTTGGTTCCTGGGGAAGGTCCACTTCCTGGCTTGTAGACAGCTGCCTTCTCACAGTGGGCTTACATGGTCTTTCCTCAGTGCATACACAAGGAGAGAGAGAGATCTTCTCTTCCTATGCTTTCAAGGGCACTGTTCTCATCAGGAGTGTCCCACCCCCATGACCTAAGCTAAACCTAATTAACTCCTGAAGGCCTCACCTCCAAATACCATCACATTGGGGATTAGGTCTTCAACATATGAATTCTTTGGTGGGGTACACTCAGTCCATAACAAAGATTTTTCTTATTCACCCAGCTAACAAACCTTTCTTGAATATGATGGTATTAAGCAGGGATGAGCTTCAAATTACTTTGTTCAGAATCCTCATGCTAAATGACATGAATCATAATCCGAACAAATGCAAAGGCATACTATGTTTTGGGACAGAAAGACAATATCATAAATGTCATTGCTCCCAAAATAGGTGTATAAATTTAATGCAATTCCAGTTAGAAAACCAAAGGGTTTTTGTTTTTTGTAATTTGAGAAAATTTCTTCACTTATATAAAAAGAAAATTAGATTAGCCAAAAAACCTGAAAAAGAGCAAGGGAATTTGCTCTATTATGCAGTATCAAAATACAATAAGGCTAATGTTAAATTAATGTTATCAATTAACATGATATTAATATGGAAAAAGAAAAATAGTGGAACAAGAGAATACAGAAATAGGTGTTGGTATAAATGAAAATACAAGGCAGTTCAGTTGAATGAGGAAAAGACCATATGGTTAAAGGACTACATAGCAAAATCTCAGTTGAATAGGAAAAGGATGTTATCAGTAAAGGATTATGAACAGGCCTTTCTCACTGACCCATGTCTGGAAAGATTACCTTAGATTTGCCTTTCTACCACAGTTTCCTTAAAGAAAATACCATTGTAAATGCATCAATTTGTAGCCTGTACCTGGATGGGGAGAGCTGTGAATTGGCTATACAGACATTGAAAGCCTGTGAGTAAAGCATCATAAGTCTTGGGAAACCAAGGCAGTGGCTTCCCTGTGCTTAAGTAGGTATCAGTCTTACAGCTGAGTGTGCTCCATGTGATGGTGGCACACCATGCAGACGTAGTGGTAGATTATTGTAACATGTCCTGAATGAGAGTGTTAATGTTTCGCAATGCTAAAGTGAACCACACCCAGTCTGGCCTCTTCTCACCTGTGCAGTGCTGAGGCCCTGGAAGGTGTGCTTGTTTGGGCAGTTGCAGGACTGTCTGATGATCATGCTGTGAGGGTGTTTTCTAATCAGGGTAAAGCTAATAATAAACCTAAAACTGAGTTACAGCCTATTCTGTTCTGTTTTTTGACTGCCAATTCAAATCTGTGATTGCTGCTGGTGGCTATGCAGATTTGTGTGAAGAGCTGTGTGACTGGCTACTGAACAGATGAATTGTTTTGACAAATTGTACTTGTACAACCAGAAACCCATCTGGAAGAAAATAACAATGAACCATCATTTTATAACATTAAAAATTAAATTCTAGATGGATTAAATATTTACATATGGAAAAAAGGGGAAATAACCAACTTGGAAGAAAAACCTAAGAAATAAAATATATAGTCTAGAGATTAAAATCTCTTCTTAACCAATTCATAAGCTTAGAAGAAATTAATACATATTTGATTATATAGAAATTACAAGGGCCGGCTCTGTAGCCGAGTGGTTAAGTTCGTGCGCTCTGCTGCGGTGGCCCAGGGTTCAGATCCTGGGCGTGGACATGGCACCGCTCATCAGGCCACGTTGAGGCGGCGTCCCACATCCCACAACTAGAAGGACCTGCAACTAAGATATACAATTGTGTACAGGCGGGGTTTGGGGAGATAAAGCAGAAAAAAAAAAGAAAGAGAAAGATTGGCATCAGTTGTTAGCCCAGGTGCCAATCTTTAAAAAAAAGTTAGAAAATATTTTTATGGAAATTTTTATGACAAAAATTAGACAATTTTCTAATGTCTAATTTATGACGAGGTTTCAAAATTGAGAAAGATAACCCAATAGGAAAATAGGCTACAAAAATTTACAATAGGAAAATTTACAAAGAAGCAAATCTAGGAGTAGGTAAGGTTTATACTTCTCAGAAAAGCATGAATTTAAATAGTATACTACCACTTATTGCAGGGCTAGAGAACACGTTTTTGAAAATGACTGATAGTATCTATTAAAATGATAAAACAGCATATATCCTTTGATCTAGCAATCTGTTGCTTGTAATCTATCCTCCAGAAATAAAAATACCTGAAATACAAAGGCTGATTATAAGGGTGTTTACTGTAGTGTTGTTTGTGGTGGCAAACAACTAGCAACAAGTTGAATCAGTAGGAGAATGGCTGAATAAACTTACAGTACATGATATCACAGAATACTGTGCAGTGATTGCTCATCTTACCCTATCTGACCATCATAATCATTCTTGTTGCTGGGGCTTGGCACTGGGCAACTATAAGCACCAAAAGGTAGTCCTAGTTTGGTCTCAATTAAGAGTTCCTAGTTAGTCTGGTGACTTCAAAGCTGCACAAGCACAAGAGCAGTACACTTCAGGAATATGAGAGAATGATTAATGAGGAATGGAAGAAAATAGAGGATAATTTAGATTTACATAGATACAGATGTTATTTAGGTACATTACCTCAGAAAATTAACCCCTGGCATTTATAATCTTATCTCAAGACCCACCTTTAAAAAAGCTAGTAACAAGCAGTACAGTGCTAACAGTTCTATTAGCATTTCATTATTTTGTGCTTAAAAGAAATCAATATAGTTGAAATCAGCCTAAGGTTTAAATGTTGCATATTCGTTTTTATCACTATTCAAAAAAGTACTATTAACTTTCTATGTCAAATTATTGTGGAAAGGGATCAAGTAAACAAAAATCCTCAAAAAGATTTGTTTTAATTAAAAGAATATTGTTTAGGTCTGATATGTCCCTTTTCAGCACCATTTTCCCAAGGAAACAAACAAGAAGGGGACTGACTAATTGTGTCTGGGAGAATAGAGAAAAAAATTAGTCTGCTGTTAAAATTGAAGCTGAAATGCAAGAGTTGATGTTTTACTTAGACATATATAAAAAAATTTAAGAGTAAGATGGTTTCCTCATTTTAAAAAACTGTCTAATTTCTAATGCCAATACTGTTTATGTGGAGTATCAAAATTTCTGATGTTTCAGTAAAAACTAATTTCTTTCTGCCAAGTCTGTGCATGTATTATTAAGTTGATTTGATCCTTAAATGTACGCGGGATCCAACTAACCTGTTGCAAAATCATCCTATAACTTCTGAGTAGACCACACACAAATTAGTGATGTGAGAGTAAATTTAAATAATTCAATTTGTTAAGCTACCATCTCAATTAAAAAATTATTTCAAAATTTATAGTAAAGCTATGATTTTAGAGATATTTTCCATAAAATATTAGCATCTGACTGGGAATGTCAGTCCGATATAACAAGTGCTTCATGTATAGCTTCCCTACTCCTATCTCTTTTTTTAATTTTCAGAAGTTTAGAAGAAAACAGCAGAAACAATAGAATAAACATACATATTACCACAACCTGGAATTAACTAACATTTTCTTATATTTACTTGTAATCTTTATTTCTTTTTAATGAGAGATAGGTATTTAGATACAAAACTGAAGTACTCTTTAACTGCCACGCTTGGTCCCATTTCCCTTCTACTGCCTTTCTTTCTAGAGGCAACCACTTTTGAGAATAGAGTATATATCCTTAAAATCCATTCTTCATGCTTTTACATAAAAATGTTCATCCATAACCAATGCTTAATACTAGTGTTGGTTAATGTTGATTTAATTCAAATTCACACAGGTACCATAATACATTCATCACTTCATTTTTCTTCAATCTACATGATTTTCCAGATCTTTCTGTTAATATATATCAATTTGTTATCTTAAGCACTAGAGAATATTCTACTGTGTGATTCTATCACGTTTTACTCATCCATTTCACAAGGAACAGAGATTTGTTTCCAATTTTCTGATAATATAATTCATGCTGCAGTGAACATAAAGGTATATGACTCCCCGGGTACATGTATCAGTCTCTCAGGTATATGTATATATACTCAAGAGTGGGTATTCTGGAATATATTTTAGAAATTTTTTCCTACCCCAAGGTTTGAAAACATTCTATAAAATGTTTATATTGCTAAGTTTTGCTTTTTGCATTCCAGTCTTCAATACTTTTTGATTTCATAATAAATAAATATTTTAATATATGACAAAAGCAAAGATCCAATATTTGAAGTGTCAATTACCCTGAGACCATTTTCTTAATCATACATGATTTCCCTACCAATTTGTGATACCAGCTCTCGCAATTACCAATTGCCCATAAAGACATGCATGTTTCTGGATACAACATTCTGTCACAATCTATTTTCTATCACTGCATCAAGAGGAAATAATTTTGATGATTAAAATGTAGCAAAACATATAACAAATAATGAACAATTTTGTCTCAATTTCAAATCTTTATACCTCTCATATCTTTGTCTTAATGCACCAGGTAGGCCTTCCAGAACTGTGTTGATTATTTTCTATGACTGGATGCTTACTTCAATGACAATGCTCCTAAAAGTACAGCATTAACAATGTTTGTTGTGGGAGTTCTGGGGGTATAGGTTTTCATGATACTATGATACTTCTTATTAAAATTCTCAGTATTTGAAGTTTTGAGTTCTTGCTGAAGGATTTTCCACATTCACATCAATTTACTGCAAAATGAATTTTCTGATATACTGTTAAGTATGAATTCTGTTCAAAGTTTTCCTAAATTCAAGGCATTCATAGAGCTTTAATGAGTATGAATTCTCTGGTGTCTGATGTGATGTGACTTCTGGCTAAAAGCCTTCCCACATTCACTACATTGATAAGGTTTTTCTCCTGTATGGATTCGCATATGTAGAGCAAGAGTTGAGAACTGAGAGAAAGCTTTCCCACATTCATTACAACCATAGGGCTTCTCCCCTGTATGGCTTCTCATATGCACAGTAAGAGATGAGCTTTGACAGAAGGCTTTCCCACATATTTTACATTCATAAGGCTTATCACCTGTATGAATTCTCACATGTACAATAAGTGATGTAATTCGAGAGAATGCTTTTCCACATTTATTACACTCATAGGGTTTTTCTCCTGTATGAATGTTGTGATGTTTAATGAGGTATTGCTTCTGCCTAAAGATTGTTCCACATTCATTACATTTATAGGGTTTCTCTCCAATATGAATTTTCTCATGCTCAGTGAGATTTGATTTGCCACTGAAGGCTTTTCCACATTCTTTACATATATAGGGTTTCTCTCCTGTATGACTTCTCTGGTGTCTAATGAGGCTTGACTTCTGAATGAAAGCTTTTCCACATCCTTTACATTCATAAGGTTTCTCTCCAGTATGTATTCTTTGATGGATAATGAGGTTTTCCTTCTGGCTAAAGGCTTTTCCACACTCATTACATTTAAAGGGTTTCTTTCCACTATGGATATTCTGATGTTTAATAAGGTATTGCTTCTGGCTGAAGGCTCTTCCACACTGATTACATTCAAATGGTTTCTCTCCTGTATGAATTTTTTCATGCTCAGTGAGATATGATTTGCCATTGAAGGCTTTCCCACATTCCTTACATGCATATGGTTTGTTTCCAGTATGATTTCTCTGGTGTTTAATGAGGCTTGGGATCTGAATAGAAGCTTTCCCACATTCATAAGGTTTCTCTCCAATATGATGTTTCTGATGAGAAAGGAAGTTTCCCTTCTGGCTGAAGGCTTTTCCACATTTATTACATTTATATGGTTTCTTTTCTGTATGACTTCTCAAATGTAGAGTAAGGGAGGAGACTCGAGAGAATACTTTACCACATTCAGTACATTCATGTGATTTCTCTCCAGTATGCATTTTCTTATGCTCTATGAGGTTTTGCTTCAGGCTAAACATTTTTCCACATTCCTTACATTCAAAAGGTTTCTCTCTAGCATGAATTTGATCATGCTGAAGGAGATCTGATTCAGGCTGAAGGCTTTCCAACATTCTTATCATGCAGATATTTTCTCCAACACGAATTCCTTAGTATCTCTTGACATGTAACATGGATGAAAGCTTTTCCATATTACTAAATTCATATGGTTTCTCTCCAAAATTAATTCTCTCCAAAACTAATGAAGCTGAATTTATGATGAAAGACTTTCACCTTGGTTATCCTGAGATTAGGTGATTACAAAATGGGGTGAAATATAGCATCCTCATTATATTCCTAATGGTTCTTTCTTAAACAGCTTCTACCATATTTAAGTATAAATTATGTTCCAAACTCTTTTAAACTCAGTCCCATACATAGAGGTGTAGTCTTAAAGAATTAATATCTGTGCTCAAAGGAAATACTTTTCTATTTCATAGGTTTTCTGAGTTTTTCCTTGGCTGTATTTTCACAGAGAAAGACAAGACTTAAATCACAAGTCTTTCATGTTGTGTCTTTATCTATTTATAAATTTCCCAGGTCTTTTCTGAAAGGGAATACAAAAAAAATCATCATTAAAAAGAGTTAATAACTGTAAAATATTTAGTGCCTGGCATGTAGTAAACAGCCAATAAAGTAGCTGTTGTCATCATCAACATCAACACTTGTGAATTTCTCCACTATTAATAAAATTTCACAAATGTGCTATTGTAAAATAGACTCTTTATTTCAAACCCAGTCTACCAGTATAAAAGAAAGCTCAAATACAACTAACATTCATGGGTGCATGTAGCTTAAATGGCATTTAAATGTAACCTTGTAGACTTCATAAATAAGTAAGAGAAAACATAAAGAACAAGTGACAAACAGGATGCAAAGACAAATACATAAAATTGGAAGAACCTAGGATGAAGGGATAAAAAATAAAATGAATAGAAGGGTCATTAAAAAGGAGGTGTGACTAAAGAGATATTTATTTCTACATCTTCCTGAAACTCCATTAAAATGGCAGTAAGGGGGCATATATTCATAAAAACTAAAAAGTTGAGGAGACATCAGTAGATGAAAAGTATTAGGAAATTTTGAAAGGAAATGTCAATAAACAGCAGAACTGAGTGGCTTAAATAAAAAGCCAGCAGATGAGGATTGCAACTAGAAGCAAAGTACTTTGTGACATAGCTGTCAACAGAAAGACTCTATAACTGGAGAAATTGGGTTAGAGTGGAAGGTGGGGCTTAAACAATGATTATAAAAGGAGTAGCTGATGCCCCCAACTTTCCCAGATGGAAGGAAATAGGAATTTATTATCCAGATAAAGTGTAACCAAGGGGCTCCAAATTTACTGATGACAGGCAAAGTAGATGAGAGTGCCATAGTGCAAAGGGGATGAGAAAAAGTTCCAGGTGTCAGATGATGGAAGGGTTCTTTTCTGAAAAAAATGAAAAGACCATGAGAACACTTGTAGTACTGACATTTGGAATCATATAAAAGAAGAACCTAGATATCTGACTGAATGCTGCACAGTGAAGCCCACCATTTTACAAGCCCTGTCCATGCACACACAGATTACAATAATCTCTCTGATACCTCAATATTAAGTATTAATGTGGAGCTCAAGGTCACAGAAATCTGATGAAAACCCTACCATGAAAGATCAAAACAAAAGGAAAAAACAAGGCAAGGAACAGAAGAACACATATACACATTACTATAATTAGTATCACAGAAAGCTAAGAGATTATATAGCAATGAAATATTAACAGGTTTGTATAAAGAAGTGCTTTTGGAAATAAACAGTATGATGTTGACCTTAAAAATTCAATAGGTTTAGGGGCTGGCCTGGTTGCATAGTGGTTAACTTTGCATGCTCCACTTTGGCAGCCCAGGGTTTGCAGGTTCAGATCCTGGGCATGGACCTACACACCACACATTAAGCCAGGCTGAGATGGCGTCTCACATATAAAATAGAGGAAGATTGGTGTAGATGTTAGCTCAGCAACAGTCTTCCTCAAGCAAAAAGAGGAAGACTGGCAACAGATGTTAGCTCAGGGCCAATCTTCCTCACCATAAAAAAACCCCAAAATTCAATAGGTTGGGGAAAAAAATTCCAGGAAATACCTCAGAATAAAAAAAGGAAGAATGGAAGGAAAGGAGAAAAGGATAGAGAGTAATAATTGGAAAATGAGTAGAGGAATCCAGGAATTTCAACATCTACTGAAGGTGGAGACAGGAGGCCCTCCTCTGGCACTCAAAGAACACTCAGGTCTTTAGTTGGTGCTGGGGTCCATCATGCATGAGAACATGGGAAGAGGCCTCCAGTTGTAAAGGAGCATAGGAGGGCATCCCCTGGGACATGTGGGGGACAGGATCTGTGAATGATATGGTGTGTGACTATCTGAGTCTCAGGCTCCTGGTGGGGTCCAGGGGCTGTGTCTGCTTCATTCACTGAGTTGTGTCAAGTGTCTCTAAAGCTCCTGCATGTCACAGGTGCTTAATATACAGTGTTCTTGAATGAACTCCAACCAGAAGCATCCCTGGTAGCATATTTTCCAGAGAAAATATGAAGAAAAATGAATGCAGGAACTTTTCCTAAACTCCATCTTTCATATTAGCATGTTGATAATGGTTAAAATTGATTACATAAAAAATAGGCAAAATGGCTGCATAAAATGTGGAAATAAACACCAGTAGACACAGTTAAATGAGTTGAAAGTAGCTGCCTATGTGAAGTAGGAACTGCAGTAAGAAAAGATGGAGCAAGCATGGCTATAACCCTATTTGACTTTTAAAAGCTCCTATTCATTGCACCTACAGAGACGTCCCTGCAGATTTGGGTCCTTTAACTTGAACCAATCTATAATTGTAGAATAACCATGACCATGCTCTTTTGTCTAGTTGCAATTGAGTTTCACATGGGCTAAACAGCAAAATATACACATATTTAACGAAACAAAATAGGCCAGAAAATAGCCATCTTTGCTTCCAAATCTGATTTACTGCAGTGTTTTGATTACTGATACTATTATTTCTGGATACAGAAACTGTCCTTGCCATCGATTTCAGTTTTCATTTATTTCTCTTCTTTCATCATGCCTGATATACTGGCACCCAAGCTCTTCTCTTGTGAAGAGCCCCTTTCCCAGCCGCTCTCTAAATCCTTTCTTTTTTAATTGTTTTCCATCCTCTAGGTGGTAAACCTTCAACATTATTCTGATCTTTCACTCTCAAAATTTTATCCTCATTTTCTTATAAATCATTGTTAAGAACTGGCTCTGGTAATATGCTACGACTCATATCAAAGCTATAATTTCCATAAGTAGAAAAAAAATACCTCAACCCTTACCACATGCCATAAGCAAAAATTCACTCAAAATGAATCATAGACCTCAACATAGTGTTAAAACTATTATAAAAGAAAAAATGGTAAAGTAGACTTCATCAAAATTAAAAACTAAGCCCTTCAAATACCAGTTAAGAAAACAAAAAGAAAAGCCACAACCTAGGAGAAACAGAGGGCTTGTATCCAAAATATATAGGACTCTTGAAACTCAGTAATAAAAAGATAAATGATCTAGTGTTGCTTTTTCCCCTCCCCACAGCCCCCCAGTTCACTGTTGTATATCACAGTTGTAGGTCCTTCTAGTTCTCCGATGTGGGATGCCACCTCAGCATGGCCTGATGAGTGGTGCTAGGTCCGTGCCCAGGATCCGAACAGGCAAACCCTGGGCCGCCGAAGCAGAGTGTACAAACTTAACCTCTTGGCCACGGAGCTGGTCCAATGATCTAGTTTTCAAAAAGGGCAAAAGACTAGAATAGACATTCACAAAATAAGACATGAATGGCCAATAAGCACATGAGAAGTTCATCTTAACTAGTAATCAGGGAAATGCATATTAAAACCCCAATGAGATATACTACCCACCCATTAAAATGGCTAAAGTTAAAAAGACTGCCAATCCAAGTATGAGAGTGTGAACTGTAACTCTCCTACATTGTTGGTGTGAATGAAAAATGGCACAGCCACTCTGGAAAACAATTTGAGATTATTTTATAAAGTTAAATATACACTTACTATTCTATTCAGCTATCCCACTCCTAGGAATTTATTCAAAAAAAATTAACATATACGTTCACACAAGGACCAGTATATGAAAGTTCATAATAGTATTATTCGTAATAGCCAGAAAACGGAAATAATCCAAATGTCTATCAACTGGTGAACAAATTATGTCCATACTATGTAATAATCAGCAATAAAAAGGAATGAAATATTAATATATGCAACATGAATTAGTCTCAAAATGCAAAACTAAGTTAAAGAGATTAAGTGTAAAAGATTATGCACTGTATGACTACATTTATATGAAATTTTAGAAGAGGTAAAGCTATAGTGACATAAAGCAGATTAGTGGTCACCAGAGATGGGAGAGGGATGTGGGCAAAAAGGCACAAGTAACTGTTCTGTATCTTGATTCTGGTGTTGGTTATAGGTATAAACAATTACCAAAATTTATCAAATAATATCCTGAAAGGAGGTGACTTTTACTTTATATAAATTATACCTCAATAAAACTGAAAAGGGAAGTCTTTCCACACTGAAGCTCTAAAACAACCATGAATTATTTAATAATCACCTTGTTTGTGCTAAGACTGCAGACAAGAAGGATAAAATACTGGCCTTTTTCTCAATGAGTTTCAATGTATGTCTTACACATCAAAGTGAAAAAATACAAATATAGGAGAGTATATACTTAGGATTCAAGTTACTCTGGAAGCTACAATATGGGATGGGAGTACAGAGATCGAAGAGACTGGGCTAGAAGTCATAGACACATTTTAATAAAAATGAAGCTTAACATCTTTTCAAATACCATGTCTAGTCAGGCATGGGAAACAAAAGAAAAAATAAACATATGGGACTACATTACACTAAAGAGCTTCTGCAAGACAGAGGAAACCATGAACAAAATGAAAAGACAACCCACCAACTGGGAGAAAATATTTACAAGTCATATATCCGAGAAGAGGTTAATTTCCAAAATATATAAAGAACTCATACAACTCAACAACAAAAAAACAAACAAACTGATCAAAAAATGGGCAGAAGATATGAAGAGACATTTTTCCAAAGAAATATACAGATGGCCAACAGGCACATGAAAAGATGTTCAATATCACTAATTATTAGGGAAACGCGAATCAAAACTACAGTGAGATATCACCTTACACCTGTCAGAATGGCTATAATCACCAAGACAAAAAAACAACAAATGTTGGAGAAGATGTGGTGAAAAGGGAACACTCATCCACTCCTGGTGAGAAGGCAAACTGGTGCTGCCACTATGGAAAACAGTATGGAGATTTTTCAAAGAATTAAAAATAGAAATGCCATATAATGCAGCTATCCCACTACTGGGTATTTATCCAAAGAACTTGAAATCAACAATTCAAAGAGATTTATGCACCCCTATGTTCACTTCAGTATTATTTACAATAGCCAAGATGTGGAAGCAATCCAAGTGCCCACTGACTGATGAATGGATAAAGAAGATGTAGTATATATATATACAATGTAATATTACTCAGCCATAAAAAAGACAAAATTGTCCTATTTGCAACAACACAGATGGACTCTAAAGGCATTATGTTAAGTGAAATAAGCCAGAATGAGAAAGACAAACACCACATGATTTCACTCATTTATGGAAGATAAACAAACACATGGATAAAGAGAACTGATTAATGGTTACCAGAGGGGAAGAGGGATGGGGGGTAGGTAAAAGGTGTAAAGGGGCACATATATATGGTGGCGGATAAAAACTAGACTATTGGTAGTGAGCACAAAGCAGTCTACACAGAAAGTGATAAATAATAATGTATACCTGAAATTACACAATGTTATAAACCATTATGACATCAATAAAATAACTGAAAAAAATGAAGCTCAAGGTTAAACAATGGATAGAACTTTGATAGATGGATCACTGCACAATCAAAGGCAAAGAAGAAAATTTCATATATATGAAGGGGGAGGTGAAAAGAGTGCAACCAATACTATTTCAAGCTGGAAGAATAATCACAATCACCAACTGTGTGGTGAAGAGAAGAGGGAGACTGAAAATACACTAATGTATAAGATATACATCATCCCCAGTGGGGAGGAAATAAATACTGTCTAAAGAAATCAAGGATGAAGACTAAGAAAGTTATGAATATACAGGCAACTAAGAGAAAGAAAAATATATAAATTTTACAAGTTTTCAGAAGGAAAGACATATATACTCAAAACAAAGAAATAAAAAACCCTACAGTAAAAGATAAAAAAGATGAGGCAGAATTTAAAACAGAAAGCATAATATTAAATAAGAGAACCAACACCAACAGTGCTGTTCCTATCAATGAATGCAACTAGAACAAACACAACTATTAAAAGAAAAGGACTATGACAGGCTCATACAGAAAATTCTCAGGCTGCAACCCTGACCTCCTGAATCAGCAAACCTGGAGGTAGGGCCTACCAATCTTTTAACCAGCCCTCCAGGTGATTTTGAGGCATGCTAAAGTTTAACAACTGATAGAGCAAAACTCACATAAAATCTATATATACAAGAAATGCATCTAAAACAATATGCATCAGAAATGCTGAAAATAAGGAATAAAGATAAAATAAGGAAGATAATCATACATATATAAACCATAGAAATCCAAGGTATAAAAACATATTAGTAACTGAGAAGACTTTCTCTCAACCTAGGAGATCAAATCCATAAAATGACAATATATAAAAAATAAGAACATAAAATAAAAATATATACTAATTTATAATGTAGAGCTAATCAGTTTATTCTGTATCTTGAAAATAGATAGTAAAGCACTTTTTTAAATGCTCAAAGAACTTTCTCAAAATCACCCTATGTAGCAGGCCTATAAAACCTCAAATATTCCACAAAGTAGAAAAGAACAGACAAAATACTCCGAATAAAAAAAAAAATGACATAAATTAGAAAAACAAAAGGTTTTCGCTTATAAATTTCAAAATCTATTGGCTTGAACAAACTCTTTGGTCAAAGAGAAAACAATTGCAGAATATTCAGAAAACAATGTATATCAGAATGTATAAAACTCACTTGAAAAAATGCTTTTAGCACAAATGTTTACATTATTTAAAAAAGAAATAATAAGGGGCCAGCCCAGTGGCGTAACAGTTAAGTTCATGGGCTCCACTTCGGCAGCTGGGGGTTCAGTGGTTTGGATCCCGGGCACGGACCTACACACCACTTATCAAGCCACGCTGTGGCAGGCGTCCCACATATAAAGTAGAGGAAGATGGGTATGGATCTTAGCTCAGGACCAATCTTTCTCAAAAAAAAAAAAGAAATAATAATGATAAATTAAGCCTTCAAACTAAGGAATTATGAAAAGGAAAAGTGAATATAAGAAAAACAAAAATTTAGTAAACAGAAAAGAAATTAATGTATTAAAAACCATACAAATAGAAATAATAAATATATGAATTGATTCTTAGAGAAATAAAAAGGAATAAAAGCAAAATTATAAAAATAAAAAATGGTTATTTGGAACTAACTGTAGATAGAAAATAAGGACTGTAGAGAGTACAGCAGCTCTCCCTGACCTGCCGTTTGGCCGTCCGTGGCTTCAGTTACCTGTGGTCAATCGCAGTCCGAATTGAAACCACAGATAAGGGGGGGACTACTGGAACAGTACCATTCTTGGTTTCAGGTATACGCTGGGGGTCTTGAAAACTATTACCCGTGGATTGGGGTAGGGCCCTGTATTTGCTCAATCCTATGCAAACAAATTTGAAAACCTGGCAAATATAACCTATGAAAAATGAGACTAGAAAACCTAAAAAGAAAAAGAAAAAAATAGAGACAGTTATTAAGGTATTTCATCACCCCAACGCATAGGTGGCTTAGCATGTGGATTTTACTAAACTGTTAACAAATACAGTAATACTATTTACTTTAAATTTTCCAATTAATTCTTAAATTCATTAAATTTGCAAAAGTATGATGTACAATAAATGGGGACGTAAGCTACTATATTCCTAATAAGCCAAAAGAATACACAAAAATTACATCTCCTTGGTAATTAAAACCCTTCATATTTTGATAGAGATTACATCAACAGCCTTCACACAGACTTATCAGAACTGAATTTTTCACATTGTAAAATGACAGTCCTGAACTAAAATAGGCAACATCATCTGAATACCAGGCAAAATTGTCCTCTTAACAGCATTTATCTTGTGGTTTAAAAAACATTTTTCAGAATATAAATCAAAATGCTCTAATGTCAAGCAAACTCCTTTTGTGCTACAATGTCTGGCTTGAGTAGCTGCAACAGAGATCCTATGGCCTACAAAGCCTAAAATATGTACTGTCTGGCCCTTTACAGAAAAAGTTAACTGCCCTCCTGCACCACAGTGGGGATTTCCCCCTCCTCCACCTGTCTAGAACCAGGATCCATTGTTGATCCAGCTCTGACCACAACTAAATGAGAAAGAGACAACCTCAAAGAAATCTCGATCCTTAAAGGACCACAAAGACCAAAGCTACCATGCGAATCTTGACTGCTCACCACACAACTGTTATATGACCAAGAAACCAATTCCTACATTCATTAAACCAGTACATTTTGGGGTTTATTGTAGTCACTTAGTTTTACCATGATTGACAAAATTTTTAGTCCTGTCTCATTGCTTGACATATCATGTCTCTGCAGATGCCTACTCAACTAAGGCACTGTAGCATGAAAGTGATCATGGACAATAAGAAAATGAATGGACACGGAGATAAGGAACGTGGCCATGTCTCAGTAAAACGCTATAAAAACACAAAGTAGGGTGTAGTTTGCCAACCCCCTTTACACCGTTTACACAGAATACATTAGGAGTTTGCTTGACATTTGAGCATTTTGGTTTCTATTTTGAAAATATTAATCACTTGCCTGGACCTCTCTCCCCAACAACTGATTCACATATCCAAGTGGCTATTTAAAATCTCCACTTGGGGGCCGGCTCCGTGGCCGAGTGGTTAAGTTTGCGCGCTCCGCTGCAGGCGGCCCAGTGTTTCATTGGTTTGAATCCTGGGCGCGGACATGGCACTGCTCATCTAAACCACACTGAGGCAGCGTCCCACATGCCACAACTGGAAGGACCCACAACAAAGAATATACAACTGTGTACTGGGGGGCTTTGGGGAGAAAAAGGAAAAAAATAAAATCTTTAAAATCTCCACGTGGGTGTCTAATGGGGATCCAATTTATCCTGCCCCAAAACAAACTCTTGTTCTCCCAAACCAGCTCCTCCGAAATTCTTCCTCTGTCTTTAAATAGCAACCTCCTTCTCCCAGTTGTTCAAGCCTTGCCACTTTCTCTCAGGTCACTCACTGTATCTTCACATCTAGTTGGCTTTATCTTTAAAATATGCCCAGAATCTGGCCATTTCTCACAATCCTCATTGGGACCACCAAAGTCTAAGCCACATCACGCCTTGCCTGGGTTATTTAATAGCCTCTTCACTGGTCTTCCTACTTTTGCCTTTGCCTCTTGACAACTCTTCCCAACTCAGCAGCGACAGTAATCTTGTCATAGTCAAATCATGTCATTGTTTTGCCTGAAAGTCTCCTTGTGTACACTTAAAAACATTTAGAAGCGTACACTGTTAACAGTGGCTGCTTGTGGGAAGAGAAATGGAGAACTGAGGGCCAGGAATGAGGGGACATACCCATTATTTTAATTGTCTATCAAGTATATGTATTAAATTTTTAAAATACTAGTATTATTTCTTTTTAAAAGTAATAAGGAGGTGAGGGGCCGGCCTGGTGGCACAGCAGTTGAGTTTGCACATTCCACTTTGGTGGCCTGGGGTTCGCCAGTTCAGATCCTGGGTGTGGACCTGGCACCGCTTGGCAAGCCATGCTGTGGTAGGCATCCCACATATAAAGTAGAGGAAGATGGGCACGGATGTTAGCTCAGGGCCAGTCTTCCTCAGCAAAAAAAGGAGGACTGGCAGTAGTTAGTTCAGGGCTAATCTTCCTCAAAAAAAAAAAAAAAAGCAAGAGGTGGAGAAATGTTGAACTATGATAGTTGGAAGTAAGAAGACAATAGGAAGTAAGAATAAGAGGATAAAATTCAACTCTGAGGTACATAACAATGGAAGGAAGGAGAGATGATAGAAAGTTAAATTTTAAAGAACAGAATCTACATGCTCATTTTTGAAAGATTACAGATCCATAACCCTTGATAAGACGGATCAAATGCTTAAGGAAATGAGTCTAGGCATATAGGGAGAAGTGAAAAATGGAGAATGTTAGTGAAAGGGAGAACAAACACAAAATTTAGGCTGCAGGAATCATAGAACTGAGACTGCAAATGAGGAAGAGAGGCTGGTATCCAGAATAGAAGTTAGAGGGGCAACCAGTCCTCCAGAATCTGAGAAAAGAAGAGCACTGATCCAGGAAGAGTTATCTGGAAATGCTATTTAGGTATCTAAAGAATTTCCAGCAGCCGTCACTCCAAAAGACATGAGCTGATAAGAAAATCTCCTTAAAAAAAATTTCAGAGGTTGCAAACTCACTGAATACCTGTAATGAGCCTTCATCCCATTCACACCTGCTGGGTTCTTATTTACTCACCTGGAGAACACCGCCTTTACAGTTCTTCCTCAACCATCCATTGCTCTTCTTGTTTGAACTGGTGACTTTAAACTTCTAAATAGTGACACAGGACTTGGACTTTCCTGTCGACAGTCAAAGCAGCATTCCAGAACTCAGGCTAAAAGCTCAGAAGTTTTGAAGGATCAGGAAAGTGCAGCTCCTGGGCATGCACAAGGAAACCGGCCTGGGAAAAAGAACAAAGTAATGCTGACTCTTTGGCTTGGGAGCTGGAGCACACATGCATGACAGCACATGGAAACAACAGTGTATTTTGCATCTCAAGCCAAACCCATTATGCCATTTAAAGGCTCCACTCATTTCAGAAGCTTATTTTGAGAATTTAGCTTATATAGAGAAACTATGAGACTCAGTTGCTAGAATTCTACAGAATCACAACCCGCACAGGTACCTTTGAGCAGGTGTTACTTGTGGCCTTGCTCCTGATTGAGCAGTCGTAGTTTTGAATATAATTTTCCTCCTAACACTTTTCTCATAAATGTGAAGTCACCAACCATGAGTGATATGGATAAAATGTAAGAAAGTTATTTTGGTATTATTCATGGATCAGAGTTCTTAAAAATTTTAGAAGCCTAATATTTTACCTAGGTTATGGTACTCTAGAAGAAATTAAATATTATAAGGGTCCTATAATTATATGGTCATTCATTGATTCAGCAAACATGTATATTTATCACTTATTATATATAATGAAGAGACCATAGTCTCCAATTTTTAATGGGGTTTGACAAATAAGAGGCTTAAACTTACTCAGAAGCTCTTCCCTTACTCAGATGTCAGTCTTAGAATCTGGCTGGACAATGCTCTGAATTGATGAAACAGGTAATACAGAGGGGGAATGGATAGAGACAAACTGCAGAAGAAAGGAAATATCAGTATGACATTTTAGATATAAAGAATTTGAAGTTCCTGTGCAACCTCCAGGTGAAGCTGTCCATTAGGCAGCTGGATATAAGATGAGGAGCTCAGGAAAAGTGTCAATTAGGAACGGACATTTGTTAGTCATCTGTGTCAGCTGAAGCCACAGCAGTGGAATTCCATTACTTATAGAGATCTTAGAGGTGAAAAAAGATGATCAAAGTCAGAAACTTAGGGACACTAATAGTTAATGGGCAAACAGAAACATAAGTCACTAACGGAGTTGGGGGGGGCGGCGAAGGAGCTTGTTCCTTGGCTTTGACTGGAATTATAAAAATGAAAGTAGTATCATGGAAGTCAAGGAAACAGTCAAGAATGAGGCAGTGATAAACATGTGAAAATGAATGGCGCAAACACAGAAATCTAATTCCTCCATCCCAGTTAAAAATGGAAATATACAAAACATGCAAGCAAAAATGTGATTCTTACCCCAGCCCTAGCTGCTGCATCTCCCTCCTGACAACTGTTTTTCTGCATAAACTGTAAAAGTTTCTTCATGCAACTACAAACATACATTCTTATCGCCACTAACTCAAAAATGTAGTATATTACACCAAACAAGCACCTTGCTTTCCTCACGTAACAAAATACCTTCCAGACTTTTAAAATCTAAGATATGATACACATTTCCATTTACTCAAGTCTTCTTTTGGGCCCTTCATTAACATTTAAAAATAATCTTCATGTAGCTTTTATACATTTCTTGTTTACCCCTTGGCACTTTAATCTCATTTGTTGCTATTGTAAATAAAGTAGTGTCTTCTCTATAACTATTACTGATTATTTTATGTATATATCAAAGCTATGATTTCTGTATATGAAGTTTGGTACTCTGGTACTTTACTTTTTCATTTTATTGAAAAATATGTTAAGTGTGATAAAATACTGAAAGAAAGTATCTTTCAGACACTGAAAGAAAATTTGTTTCACTACATTTACAAAGGCCTTTTGGTCTGCGGAAAACCTGGTTAAACTAGGAGTCAGACTACCATGCTCATTGCCAAACTGGAGAGTCTTAAAGCGGTTCTTTGACCTCTCCGCACCAAAGACAGGACAACTTGTTTCCTAATTCTGTGTTGTCTGCAGTAGTGGAAACTCTCTCTTAAAGCTATTCCTTAGTCCAGGGCTTCTCAAAGTTCGTCCTCACCAAAGTTTGTCCAAAGAATTAAGAAAAGTTAATACCTATGGGGAGTCTAGACACCCGATAAGAAGATTTTTGGAAACCTTTCCTCTTAAAAAAAATTAATGCTAATTTTCTGTACTCGATGAGTCTGCTTTTACATAAAAATCGCTTGAAAATTTACTTGTCGCTCAATTGCTGAGCCTTTCTCCTCTCTAATCTTTCAGAAAACCGGATGCTCCTGAAAAATGCATCCTTATTATTTTAGAAAAGAGAAAAGTGAGGTTTAGAGGTTACTACCCCACAAAGCTCACAATGCCATCAATCCTCACAAAGTTGGAACCACACAGTTTCTCATACAGGTTGAAACTCTGCAACCCCCTCACACCCTCCGTCATGCATCCGCAGTTTCCTCCTGTACCCCTGCCCCCATCCACAGAAGCTGTGAACGCGGAACGTCACAGGAGGCGATTCCTCCCCTTCAGCCTCCCCAGCCCCATCACCAGCTCCGCGAATCCTTCCCTACAGCCTCCTTGACTGGATTCTGAGCCTAGAAACCCAGGTCCCACACCCAGATCGGCACTTTGCGGAGCCGATACCAAACTCACCAGAAGACAAAGACGATGATGCTGAGCCAGAAAGTGTGCGCCTGCGCACTCCTTGGGGTGGCTGGCCCTCCCAGAGGTCTCCTGGGCTCCGCCAATCCTGGGCTCGAGACCGGACGGCATCAGTCCACAGCGGGCGGTTCTCTACTTTTATGACTGTGGACTACATTTCCCAGCAGTTTCAGTGTTTCGAGTCAGCTTTTCGCGCTTTCTTTCCTCCGGTAGAGCTTGTGGGACTGTCTCCCTGATAGGGGAACGAGTGTAAGTAGGCCGAGTCTCGGGACTCAGTTACACTTTGTGAACTACCTCTGGGAGTGGACAGTGGTGTGCTTTGGGTTATAACAAGCTCGGTTCAAGCTCGCCAGGCTGACACCAACTAGGAGCCACGGTGCGAGGCTACGCCAGGATTGCCAGAAGACTCCAGCGTGCGCTTCGAGGCTCGCGGTGTGGGGTGGCGACGTCTCGTTCGCCCGGCTCAACATGGGCGCCATCTTGTCCGTCGCGAACGGGGCGCTGAACTACATTTCCCAGAGGGCGCCGCGCCCCCTCCTCTTCCCCACAGCGAGGCGGGCGGTTCTGAGCAGAGCGGGGCTGGACCCTGGTGCTGGTCTCTGTGAGCGGTTCCGCCCGGCCGCTGACGCGGTCCCGGGGTGACCGAAGGTGAAAAGTCCAGAGCCCAGGGCGGGAACGGAGACTGAGTATTAAGTCTGTTCTGGATGAACGGGCTGAGGAGGGGTGGTTGTGAGGTTGTGTGTCCCAGTGATGCGTGTGTGTGATACCGTCTGCGGATGTGAGGAGCTTTATGTGGGTGTGACTGTGAGTCCCCGTGGTATGATTGTTAACGTGTGACCGTCTGTAACACTGGGTGTGGGTGTGGGTTACCTGTGACTGTGTGTCCCTGTGGTGGGTGTGTGATTGTGACTGTGTGACCGTGTATTCCTATTTGTGCAGCTATAGGGAGCTTTGTGACAGTGCTTCTGTGACTGCGCCCCCGTGGGGATTGTCACTGTGCAGCGCTGTGTGGGGAGAGGAGGGAGAGAGTGTGTGACTGAGGGTGTTACTGTGCCTAGTGGTGGCGTGTGTTTGGATTTGGGGAGACTGACTGTCGGTGACTGTGTGTCACATATAGTCATATGCGGGAGCACAGGATGGCTTGCCCCTTGACAGTAAAGACCCTGACTCTTCTCTATGACGCTGAGATTGAGATGGACGCCGCCGTCTCCTCTGACAGCCCTTCTCTCGTGGGGGAGGGACAGTCGGAGCAAGATGACCTCGTCATCTGGGCTCCAAGAAAGGTTTGTTGTTTCCTTCCTCATCTCTGTCCTTCTCCAAGAGACATCTCCAGAGGAGGAGGAAATATCTCTGTGACATGTGAAAGTCCTTTTAAAGTGCTTTGGTGTTTTACTTTCTGAAATGCTTTATTTCTGGACGTGATTTTTTTTCTTTCTTGGCAGACGCCTAACAGACCCATCAAGTAAGCTGGAATCTACTATTTCTCTTTGGAAGTATCGTCCTTGCACTCCCTTATTTTTCTTATTAATATGGCAAATGGTTCAATTTATCTTGTCTGCTGAGTATTTTGGTTTTACATATATACACATCTAGAGATACGGGTTGATTCTTAGACAGTTGTTCAGAGATGTAGGGATGGGGGCAGGGCGGGCTCACTGGGCATGTATTCTTTGGCCCTCCTTTTCCCTCCCTGCCTGGAATGTGGGTATGGTGCTGCATGTTGAGTAGCCATCTTATAACCATGTGTTTACTAGGAAAGGAAGGATATGAGAATTTACAATATTATATTAAATGAAAATAGAGGATTTTTAAATTGTATATGTGGTAAAGAAAAAAAATTTACCTATAGATGCATGAAATGTGTAGTAGCATTTTAATTATCTTCCTTGAAACTAGACTGTTCGTGAAAGGAGCTGCCTCTCCTTGACTTTTTGTTTAGCTAAGTGTAACTAAAGTCTGACTAACCATGGCTGGCACGTGGTTGGCTCTCAGTAAATACTTGATTGATGAAAGAATAGTAAGTCTTCATATGTGATAGCAGTGTTATTTACTTTCTTTCTGGTTGCCCAGAAGAAACATGCACAGAATGCCTTAGGTTTGTATTATTCTCTCTAAGATTACCTTACTTGTGTTAACTCTACCTCTAGGGGAGGGCAGTGGTGTACCCAGGGATGTAATAAGCCAGGATATGAGTTCTTTGGCATCCATCCACAGGACTTCTGATGTGGGGTGAGAGATACTCACTGTTACTCATTGTTGTTTGTGTTTTCTTCAAGGTTTACTTTATTAAATTTCTGTATATAATGAATAAAATATCAGTAACCACTTTTTCTTGAGCATTTAAACTTGATTGCTAATTGTGATTAGTATAAATTGCTTGAATATTTGAAGTGCAATTACAACTATTGATGCAAATAATCTATAATCGATCCATAAATCAAAATTGGGATGAGTTTACTATGAGCCAATTTGAGGACTATAGCCCAACAGAGCTTTTCCACCAAGGAAGGAAGCTCTCCAAAGAAGTGGGGAGTACAGAGTGATTGTGTACCATCTTGGAACAAAGAGCATACATCACATATGGCAGGAATATCCCTTTTACAACAGTCCTGAGCAGGTCAGTGGTCACAAGGTGAACACAGCAGGTCAGTAATTAATCCTTAGTTTCTGGGAAGAGATGCTTATCTTTAAAAGAAATGCTGAAATGGAGGGAAGCTACATCCCTATCTTTAAGGGCATCATTCTTGTCTTTGAGACACTGTAAATGTTTAAAGCAGATATGCAGTGCATGCTCAACAGGTCACAACAGGCCTTTCTGGAAAAACAAGGCCAGGTCGAATTAGTTTTAAATCAAATGGCTTCCTCATAGACTCCAGTATATCCTATTGCTTTTCACTTATTTGTTACAACTTTAGTAAGTGTGATATTGTGATTTATAATAAATATTCGTTTGGTCTTCGTCCCCTTTTCTGGCACAGAGCTCCTAAAATCCTTGGAATTTACTAAGTTTAGAGAGCTATTAGGGTATCTTTTGTTCTGTTAAGGAGGTGACTTTTGGAAAGCCCTTTAGTAACCCAAGTGTGGAGCCCGTTACTAGGGGACCCAACCATGTGGTTAGAGGGTTGGAACTTTCAGTCCCCCTGCCCCCATGAGAAGTGGAGAAGGGCTGCAGGTTGAATCAATTGTCAGTGGCCAATGATTCAGTCAGTAATGACTGTCTAATGAAGCCTCTGTAGAAATCCAAAAGGGTAGGTGGGGTTCAGAGAGCTTCTGGGTTGGGCAACATGTGGGGACTTGGGGAGAGTGGCAAGCCCGGAGAGGGCATGGAAGGTTCATGCCCTTTCCCCATACTTTGCCCTTTGCATCATCTCTTCTCTTAACTTTGTTTCTCTGAGTTCAGTGAGCCGCTCCAGCAAATTAATCGAACCCAAGGAGGGGACTGTTGGAACCTCCAGTCTACTGGGCTTGCGACTGGTGTCTAAAGTGGGTGGGGTGGGTGGGTGGTAGTCTTGTGGGACTGAGCCCTTAACCTGTGGGATCTGACGCTATCTCCAGGTAGATATTGTTAGAATTGAGTTGAGTTGTAGGTCATCTAGGTGGAGCTGAAGAATTGCTTGGTGGTGTGGGGACCCCCGCCCCCCCCCACCGGAAATGGGTGTGAGAATAGTTTAGTAAGGCTTATTTTTTTGGATAGTTTAAACATGAAAACAGCAGACAAGATTGGAAGTAAAGTGATTTAAAAAGTGAGGAGAGGGGCTGGCCCCGTGGCCGAGCGGTTAAGTTCGCGCGCTCCGCTGCAGGCGGCCCAGTGTTTCGTCGGTTCGAATCCTGGGCGCGGACATGGCACTGCTCATCAGACCACGCTGAGGCAGCGTCCCGCATGCCACAACTAGAGGAACCCACAACGAAGAATACACAACTATGTACCGGGGGGCTTTGGGGAGAAAAAGGAAAAAATAAAATCTTTAAAAAAAAAAAAAAAAAGTGAGGAGAGATTTTTAAAAAGAAGAAGGAAATTGTGATATTCATGGAAGAGACAATGGTGGCCCAAACTGGTGTGATAGTAGTGGAGATGGAGAGAAATAGATGGATTTGAGATAACAGTTGGAGGGAAAAATGTTAGAATTTGCTGAAGGATTTGATGTAGGAAGAGGAGGGAGAATGAAAAGTGACGCTGAAGTTTCTGGTTAGATTTGACACGGATGCAAGCCAAAGAAACACGCAGATTGTACCTGCTGGGCCATTTTCCCCAGGAGAAGCCTGTTGGCATGGCAGACACCTATGGTTTCTGTCCTGAAATAACTTGTCAGCATTATCCAGTCTTGAGTTTGAGCCCTGCTAATGATTATCACAAGAGCTGTCCTTTCATATTATTTGTAAAAATGAAAGGGTACAGGGGTAGGTAACAGAGGAGTAAGAATATTTTCTGAAGATAAGGACTTGGTGCTCTGAGTGGGATTAAAATCATTTGGGGATTGCTGGCATTTCTCAGAAGCGAAAGGATGAGAATCAGTTTCCCTAGTGCCACTGAGTCTATAGCCTTTCCACCTGAATTTCCTTAGACATGGAGTGTGTTTTTCCTGGTCCATTCTGTTCCAGAGTCTATACTGAGAAGTTCTCACTTCCTTCTCCCTAACTGTATTGCTTCCCTGTATTGATTACACCCTGAAATTCACTGTCTCTTCAATGGGATTATTACCTGTTCTGACTTAATGAAATAACTGTAGGAATGCAGTGACTGTAGGAGAAAGTGCACAAGAAAATAAATTACAAGTTTTTTATTCTTAAAAATCAGTTGAGTTCTTAATTGGGAAATACTAGAAGCATTCCCATTAAGTCAGGAAAGAGGCAAGAATATTTATTATCACTACTACTAGTTAAGATTTTTTCTAAAAAGGTGCCAGCTAGAGCAGTTAAGAAAAAACTTAGAGGTAGAAAAAAGTTCTGAAAAGAGGAAGTAATATTATCACTAAATGCATGATTCCATAGGGAGTATGCAGGAAAGAAAAATGTTTATAATTTTTTATCACCCTTTGAATCTGAAGGTGAGTTAAACACAGTCACTAATTATTAATTCATGCAAGAACTCTATTGATCTTTCATTCCCTACCGTTTCCATTCTCTTCCCACTGTAGACACTCATTCAGAATATCTTTACACTTAAAGGTATTCTTACAGAGTTGTATATTTAACATGCATGTACTTTTTTTTCTATATAAATAATATGTCTCCTATTCCTTCTTACATTTTCACTAAGCACCATGTTTTTACCATCCATCTGTCACTATGTAAACATTTATATTAGGGAATCAACCATATTTTACCTATCTACTCTTCCAGGGGATGGACACTCAAGTTAACTACCTCTAATACCTTACCAGCAAAGGGAATGAAACAAACATCCTTGTATATCCCTTATGGACCAGTTTGAGAATTTCTTGGGCATAGAATATCTAGGTCATAGGGTGTGACTTTACTTGTCTGAGTAGTGCTAAATTCTCTCCAGGTTGTTTGTACAAGTCCACACTTCCACTAACATTGCATGAGTGTTTCCATATCACCATACCTGCATGAGCACAGCACTACGTAGCTTTCTCATAGTTACTAGTCTAAAAGGTCTAAAGTATTACTCTTTGTAATATTAATTTGCTCTTCTCTGATTGCCAATGATTTTGAGCTTCTCTGTAAATTGCCTGTTTATACCTTGTGCTCATATTTCTATTGGGATTGCTGTCTTTTTCTTGTTGATATGCAAGAGTTTCTTGTATATTCTAGATACTAATTCCCTGACAGCTTTAGACTCTGCAAACAATCCCCTTCTACATGTATTCTGTTTCTTATATTTGTTATTAAACAGAAATTCTTCATTTTAATATCAGTATTCTTTTCCCCTTGTGGCTTACTGTATTGTTATTTAAGAAGCTTTTTCTGCCCTATGTCATGAAGAAATTTTCCATTTTTCTCTATTAATTTGTAGTTTTACTTTATGCATTTAGGTCTTTAATCTATGGTAGAGTCCAATTTTGTATTTTCAAAAAACATATTCTTCCATAATTGCCTCTTTCAGCTCTTCTCTGTGAGATAATATTTTTTTCCTACCCCTGGATGAAATGTTTGGCAGGTGTTATTACAGTCATTCTTAATGAAAAGTCCAGTGGACAAATTGGATAAGTCTCAATTTGCTAAATTAACTGCCTCATGCGTTGTTACTGATCAGTATTCCATACTCTTCAAAATGAAAACTTCTCCCTTCCTGGAACTCAGTCTCATTTTTTTAAAAATTGGGTTTCCTCTACATTTATTGCAGCTGCTAGCTAATCATTTAATTAATAACATTTGCAACTTAGCACCTCAGTCTTACCTAAAGATGGAAGCCTCTGGAAGAAGGAGAATGTGAGCAGCTTCTCTGTTTCCCCTCTGTGTTCTTCTCATCTTTCCCCAACTCTAGATTGTCCCAACCTCCCTAAAGTAGGAGCAAAGGAAGAGAAGAAAGGGAAGAGGCAGGAAAGAAGACAGTCTTACTTAACTCATACTGTTGTAATCAGTTTTTGGTTGTCTCCTACTTTGGTGCATATTCAAGGCAGACCTTTTTTCTTATTCTCAGATGCCTTTCTGGGTTTCTGAGTAAATTTTTGTTGGAGATAGCTAACTGCAGGGGACACCGTGATGCTGGCACATCCCCTTCACAGAGGCCACTTAAAATCCTCGTTACCTCCAGGCATCTCTGGTGGATCAAATTGCCCCAGGCCAGATCCCTCCTTGTTGTTCAAATCCAGTCACCAGGTGGGAATTGGGCTCCCTTCTCTCGTTTTCCCCCAGATGACCAGGGAAAAGGGGAGAGTTCTCCTAAGAACTCGTTCACAGCACTCCACTTTGGATCTTTGAGGCACTGGGATCTATAGGGTCAATTTGCTTGATTTGAGGAGAGGAGGAAAAAGCCCCTGCTTTCCCCAGGGGGCTGGGAACGTATAGCACACCAACAACTTTTTCCAAAAGTAGTCCTGCCTCACAATGTATCTTCTTCATCCTCTGCAGTTTCTCAAATACCCTTGAGGTCTGTTGAACTGA